ACCTTGAGCTCAGTTGCTACAGAGTACACCCAATTGTTACGGAGATGAAAGAAAACTTGAGCCTTTCCTGTTTTCCCGTGTCTCCTGAGAGTTCGCTTGTGAATAGCTAAAAAAGCTTCACTTCTTGGACATAATCTTATGAAAGAAAGTACTATTTCTGGGATTTCTAGCCAAGTAGAGTTGTGAATTAGATTTAAAGCGAGCTTCTGCTTCCCCTTATGTTACTGATATCATTGATTTCAGTCCCTAAAAAAATGTGTTTTGCAGGGACATAAAACTTCAGTATTTTAATACCTTCAATTGGTTTTAAGTTTTCACTTTGTCATTTATGCTCATTTGGAACCATAGGAAACCTTATTAATATAAATGTATCCTCTTAACTTTTTGGGGTGTATACCATGATTAATTCTCTTTTACTCTGTACGAGTATTTATGAATTCTGTGATTTGGTGGTGATGGTTGTTTTGTTTTGTTGGGGGGTTTTTTGTTGGGTTTTTTTTTTGCTAATGATACAATCATTAATTTCCAAAGTACCTCAGTGAAGGAAGATTGAAATCTTGATTATACCTGGTTTAGTTAAAGGGTGAAGAGACTTGTATTTTTAATTACCCCAATGCTGATTAACAGAAACACTTGCATATTAGAAAGGATGTCTAAAGTCTTTCCATAACAATATAAAACCTTGCCTACAAATTTGTACCACACCTTTTAGTGTGAAATCTGCCTTCACCTGTATGCAACTATTTTACAGTTAAATTTTTTCCAAAGTGAGACTAACTAGGATGTATGCTGAGACTTCTGATTGCATTGTGGTTAATGGAGGAAAAATATAGCTGGAGGGATCTAGTTATGCATAGTAAGAAATGCGGAGCTTGAATCCAGGCGGATTTGTTTTTATTTAAGAGTGAAGTGTGCTGTCTTTCTGATGTAAGCTTTTCCATTTTTGTAGTCTAAATTATTTCACAAAGCAAAGTCGATTTTTTTTGTGAACTGTTTAGTTGTATTAGCCTTGTGAAATGTTTACTGCATCCTGGATACCTTTGATGCCTTTAAAACACAGGCAGTGAAGGGAAAATAATAAAAAAATCCCTATTTCTGCTTTGAGAACCTCATCATCCAAGCAGAACATCAGGATTTCAGCCATGTGGATGTTATACAGCTGTCTAACTTCTTGTCTCCAGCAATCCCATTCACTGTATCGGTCGTGTATGTCTTTGCTTAGGCTTTCCTGCTCTATTTTTTTTTAATGGCCTTGTTTTAAAGGATTATTTCCCATATTGGATTCCCATATTGGATTGCTTGGGGTGGGGGAGGAAGAGGGGAGACGGTTGTTTTAGATTGTGCATGGGTATAACTTAATTTCTGCTACAAACTGAATTCCTTTACTCAGCTTTCATACAGATGCTCTATGCTGATAAAGGACTTCAGTCTAACTGACTTAAGTCAGTGATTAATTAAGACTAGTGATTAATTTTTTTTACTTGTTAGAATAACCTTCCATCCTGCACAAAGGGAAATTTAAAGGAAAAACCCCACGAGTTTTGCCTTTCCAGGAAATGCCATTTTGCATGTGTTATGAAGGACTTGGGTCAGTAGCTTTTCTTATTATAAAACTTTTCTTACTAGTAACACTAGTTTTGTTTCTTCTTGGGTACTGCTGAAAAACTTACCTTGTGTAGGGTCTAGGACTTTCAGTGGAAATAAAATTTGCACTTAAGTACTAACCTGATAAGTTAAATGATTTTGCCTAAATACTCACATTGGGCATAGAAACTGGTGCCCTTGCAGTAAAATAGCTGTGGTTAATTCACTCTCACTTGCTTGAGTAGAAGTTTAATATTAAGGTCAGAAGAAAAAGAAAAAGTCTTTATAAAAAGCAATTTTCTTGCTTCAAGAGGCTTGCTAATAGATTTTGAAGAGGTTTTAAACACCAGGAAGTAGCATACCCTTCATAACATAGATATAAGACTCTAGCAACAGCAAAGAAAAAGTGGGAATAACCACTGTCTGACTCTTAGGTGTATCTGATTTTTAAATTTCCTGAACATTGAGTTAAATATTGTAACAAATGATTTGTAGCTGAATTTGTACTACAAAGGTTTGTTGCTGTGCTGAACTCTATTGGCCTACTGAAATCATTGGGACACTATAAATCATGTTGGGTTTCCTTAATGTGTGAAATTAATCTGAAATATTTTGCTGCCTAGTAGTTTTTGTGAAGTGATGTCATTTGTTAAATGGTGAAATAGAAAATACTTCCCAACCGCTCTGCCTTCTGAACAAAAGGATTTTTGTAGGCATTTTTACAAGCATAACAGATATGTGTTAATTTTTACTTTGAAATATATGGGGCTTAATTTTCAAAATCACAGGTAGTGATTATTTGTGTGTATGGCTTTTTTAAATACTACTTTAATTCTATGCCACTCAAGTATAACACTTTATACATGTCAATTGAAGTATCTTATTTAAATGCTTAACTGGACTGTAGTTCAGCAATTTAGAAAATGGAATGAAGTGTTGAATGTTAGATGGTGAATAAAGGTGCTTATTGTTAATGGAGAGTTTTTGCATTTATTTCCCAATATTATTTGATTACAGCTTCATTGACACTTCTTTCCTATAACTCTGCTCAAAGGCTGGACCTACTCTGTAAGTTTGTGCCAGACTGGAAATAAGTTTGCAGCTGGTGGGTTTTGGTTTCTGAGAATAAGCAGGGTATTACGTTTCTACTTGACTCTTAAGTAGATTCTTTTAGATCCTGAAAGAGGAATGTAAGCAGGCATTTATTTTTGCAGAACTTGTGATAGTAAAATAATTCAAGATATTGCTTGAAAAGTAATCTTGCCATAGTGCTTGCCACAGGAATATCATAAACTAGATGCATGAACAAGGCAGGTGGAACAGGAGTAAGGCAAAAAAGGTATGTATCATCATCTTGAAAACTGAAAACCAAGAGGTATGTAATATTCCCGTGTCATCCCAAATGTGCCGATTGTAGAAAACTTCATAATGTCCTGACCTTCAGTTAGGTTCTTATCTGTATATAAAGGGAGGAACTTGGCTTCTGGGAATGTTTTTGTAGTGAAGTTTACTTAATTTTGTTTGATACCATAAAGCAGAGGTTCAGAAGTGCTATTACAGAAGCTCTGAAAAGGGAAAGTCAATACACTAGAGAGAGATTGACAGGTTTCTTAAAATTCAGATAACTTTGTTTTGCTGCCTTTGTGCTGAGAGTTCTTCAGCAAATGGGAGTTGAGAGCTCTTCCATCTCTGGACTTTACTGTTGTATACAGAAAAATCAAAAATAATGTGAAGAGGACAGTGGAAGATGGCAGAGAATGGAGCAGAGCAGAGGATCCTGGGTCTCTGCTGGGAATATTAGTTTGCTCAGCTTGCATGGAGAATCTGGGTCTTAGAAGAGAGTATCTCACAGATCTGTTTGTTTAAGGCTGGTCAGGCATTTCAACCCTTCTGTGTTTTCTCAAGGACTTGCTTACAGCACAGTCCCTGCCTTTCTGCGAAGTGAGAGAGGG